AAAAAAAAAAGACAACTCTCCAAATTGAAGAAAAAGAGAATAGTGTCCAAATAATTTAAATCTCAGCAAAAAAAAAGTGTCCAACCTGGTATTAAATAATTTTTTTTAAAGGTTTATAATTTAATAATAATCTCGGTTTTTCACATTCTTTTTTAGTGATGCTCATGACATAAAAAGCAGTATAGTTCAATGGGAAGTGAGATTTTCTAGTAAGTCCTTTTGCTAAGGGATCATTGATCTCTCTATCGCATAGTTTAATATATTCCCTGTATTTTTGATAAGGACTAGTTTTTGTTGAAGTATTTGTCTCATCGAAATTGTTTTCACATGGAAGATCAATAGACATTTTATCATGGAAATCTTTAGTGATGAGGATTATTTTTCTCTTTTTGAGGGTTCTCATTATGAAGATGCTGGATGATAGATTCCCTACAACAACTTTCTTAAGGGAGTTAGTTTGTAGTTTTTTGAAATGAATTTTATTCATTTCATTAAAGATACTTTCTTTCGGATCAGTAAAAACTTTAAGAATAATTTATTTTTCCAATTTACCAGAGTAAATAGTAGTGTTATCAAGTTTTATAATAGACGATGGATTTCCTAAAGCCATATGCTGCGAAAAGTTTTTGACAAGGGAAAGAAAATTGTGGTTATTCGAACATCATATCTCCAAATTAGAACTGATGATAATTTGTATTTGATTTTGATTTGGTTTCCCCTAATTGATGTATTCAATGAGAGGTTTTCTCAAAATATTTGGTAGAAATTATTCGTTTTTGGATGCAATTCATATATATACTACTATTTACTAATGCAGTGAGGTATGAAATAACATATTGTTGATTTTTGATTAGATCTATGAATATGAACCGCTTATGCATAATGATCTTTGATGGGTGTTGATAAAATCGACTCCCACAATATGGGTGTAGGATCTTACTGATGGGATTTTTGTTTTTGATGGCTATGTTCAAGGTTTATTAGTTTATTATTCATAATAGACTGTTTTGCTTTTAGATTAATTATTTCATTGTTGAAATTATTAATCTATTGTTTAAGGTCATTGACCGTTTTGGGAGATTTTTTTTATCTAGATAATATTGAGTATTTATCTCATAATGTATGATTAGAGTTCATCATAATTATTCGTTTTATTTTCAAATAAATCTAAGATCTTTTTCATTCCTTTGTTATCAGAATTTTGAACTAATACCTTTTTTTGTTCATCTTTCTGACCATTTGTTCGGTTGTTAAGCTAATTCATTACTTTGAATGATTTATAACAATTTATTTGTGAACAATTATCACAACAATTTTTGAATCGTTTTTTATGAAATTTTTTCTGCGATTCAAAACTAGAATTGGAAGATTCATTAGATTTAAAAAGAACTTTTATTATGGTCTTCTTTATTCTTTCATCACAATTCAAATCAATAAGTTTCTTTTTTATAATGCATTTTTTGGCTAGTGTTTTGTTAGTCCACATCTGTAGCAGTTACCTTCTTTTTTTTTTTTAACTTCCCTTAATGGGTTTGTTGGATCCTTTTGGATGTTTATTTTTCATCCATTTTTTTCTTTTTTTTTTTTGAGTTATTTTCTTGATGCTCCCTTTTGTGGGAAGATTTTTTAACCAGTCCATAATAGAATTATCGGCAATAGCAACTAAATTGCATCTTCTGTAATTTTTTCTCTTTGTATTTGTTCTCTGAGTTTAATATCACTACAGATCAAGGTCTTCTATTATGCAGGCACTAATTAGCTTGCCATAGGTACAAGTGTCATAGGAAATTTGCTAGTTTGTGGATTAAGAAGATGTCGTTTAACATGTTTGATAAAAAGAGTTGAAGTTCTTCAATAACTTTTTGCTTCCAATGGCTGTAATCTGTATCTGATAAATGCATAACTCTATAGAGGAAAACATCCATGCACCAATGAATGTGAGTTAACATTGGACATTAAATCTTTTGGAGAAGAGAATGAATTTATTCTTCTCGACTTGAAATTATTCATGGTAAAATGTTCAAGATCTCTGCAATAAATAGCATCATCAACTATGGTGGTAGGAGGTAATGATGATGGATCCTTGAGTTTGGGTGGATTAATTATTTTTTCTCTTTAGGCGGAAGTTAAAAATTATCACTAAAACCTTGTAACATACCTGTGAACCCTTGGACGATAATTTTTTCTATTTGAATGGTGTATTATTATAAAGACGTGCTGCAGTAGCTTAAACAGGTCTTCTTTGCAATAAGTCTTGGATTTATTTTTTCACTACAACTAAGTTCCATTCATAGATATGAGTTGGATTATAATCATATTGAAAATTCTCAAGTCTTCTTAATAAAACAATACCCACAGGCATAGGGTGACATTAGTGATCTCTAGTTCATATTGAAAATTCTCAAGTTTTCTTAATAAAAATTACCCACAGGCATAGGGTGACAGTAGTGATATCCACGATAATAGATATGAGTTGGATTATAATCATATTGAAAATTCTCAAGTGTTCTTAATAAAAAATGCCCACAGGCATAGGGTGAGAGTAGTGATATCTACCCTTTGAAAGTTATGATAATTAATTTTGTTAAAATCCATTTTGTTGTTCGTTTTCTTCTAGTTGAAGTGAAGCAAATTGCTCTTCAATTTTTGCAATTCTTAAATTTCATCCGAACTTTCTTTAGATAGGATTTCCTAATCTTAGGTTTATTGATTAGTTCCTCCAAATTTGTTTAAGAGATCTTGAAAGTTTTTTTGTTGATGTTCGTCTTGGATCATTTTAAAATAATAGCAAGATGATCGAGCTTCTTTTCAAGTTTAAAATGATGAGTACATATTATTTTAGGATTACAATTGGTAAATTATTTTTTCACAGTAACTAATTCTTTTAATATATGAGCACTGGTACTAATTTTATTGGAGGCAACCATTTCAAGATTACTAGATTTATCATCTCTCTCAACTGTCAGAGGCTGAGGGGTAGAATACGCTGATTCAATAACATCATCCTTAATAGTATGTCGTTTCCTAGGCATCATAATAAGTTGTAGATGGGTGTATTTATAAACAAACCAAGAGACAGAAGGGATTCTACTATTTTTTTTTTTCGTTTCTATTACAGATGCTTCTATTTAGAATATTTTCTTTAGAATTTCTTTATTTTTTGGTAGGAATTGTTGATTTTTCATGAGTACTTATAATAACAATAGATTAATGCTTCATATGAAGTTATATATTTTAACATTAACTTATAGATTAAAAAAACTTGTTAGTCAACAATTTGGGGTTACTACTTGTATCAGGTCTTGTCAAATGTGACAAGTCATAATCTTTGGATCTAATTAATTATGCAATAAAATATAGCTAGCAACATCATCCTTTATGAAATATAATAGTTAGTCAGTGATTTCTAATCTAAGAGGACTCTAGCATTTACTTCAGAAGACATTAATCTCTCACAACTAGTTAGCATAAAATTCTAGAGCTCACCTAATTATAGAGATTTTTATGATCTCTCAATTATGTAGCTATTTCTTCTTAAGATTTAGTAGTCAAAACGGCTATACTTTATGACAGACCACAAAGAATCCAAGACTTTGTATTGAAGCTCATAATTTGTCTATGCAATCAAAATATAATTTTCGGTAAAATGGTGGATAATAATCGATGTGGATGATAATTTAACCCACATAAAATGTGTTATCAGTTCTAGTAAGGCAATGATGATCAATAAGACATTGGGCAATTTTGAATTTTCCTTCAAGGGTATTTGTGGTAAAATGAGAGGAAATAACCACATAAAGGTTCATAATAATGAAGCTGATGTTATTTCGAGAGTACTAGAAACAAGTTTTGGAGCTATTTTCAACACCTGCTCCAATCCTTAAGCATGGTGATTAGATGTCTCAAGACACAACACATCAATAGATAGTGAGACATTGGCAAAAGGATGGGCTAAGGTGCAAAAACCGTTGCAATCAAACTGAGCTAAATGACAGTAGTCACATGATTTTTGTAGACAATTGGGTCCCATATTCCCACTAATTTAACAAAATCTTAAGTGGGAACTATAAAAGAAACTTCTTTAAGGCAAAAGCAATGCTTTAAAAAAATAGATTTTTTGTGTCTGTACTATAGCGTTGCTGATTAAGTTTTGCTTGGATTCAGTCTACTTTTGCTATTATAAATAAAATTGTTTTGTTATGTGTTGGGCAGTCGATTTAGTAGCATCTCGAGTTTTGTAGTAAGAATTTATTATAAGAATTTATTATAAGTTTGCCTCTTTTTTGGTCTACTGTCATCTTGTAAGTTTTTACTTAAAGAAAAATAAGATTTTCTTTCAATATCCTCCGCATTGGTTGTTAGTAGTTTGGATATAGGCTTACCATAGCACCAGTATAGTTTGTACGGATAAAATCAGAAAACTAAATTTTATGCCACTTTTTAAGGCTGGTATTAGCTTTATAGGTAGTTGGTTGGGGTAAAACTTGAAAAAAGTTTCATCCCCTCTTATAGCCTTTTATAAATATGCAAGATGAGATTGGTGTACTGAGCGTGTTTTCAGTATGTTTTGGATTCAAATTTATAGAAATGTCATGGTTATTTATATTATTTGTGGTGCATCAGTGCATGCTCTGATCATTTTGCAATTTTGTCCCTTATTAAATTTGACAGCACTCTTCTCTTATGCTTTAACAACTAGTTTATTTTTCATTTGCTAGCCCTAGATATGCTTTTAATATATGCGTGGGTTTGCATGTTTTATCTGGTAAACTGTTGCTCAGTTAGTCAAACATTGTAAGCTTTGTACTATGTTGGAACATGCATGCAACTTAATTCGCTATTTGCTGGTATTTTTTTCTTCTTCTATTCTTGGTTCACTGGCCTGGTTAAGCTTCTTTTGAACTTACATCATTTTATAAAAGTGATTCTATACGTGCTTGTGATTCTTTATATTCAATTGTTAAATGCGTGCCTTGCTAATTTAGTGCTGACGTTGATAGGTACACGTAAAGCGACTCATAAGTTTAACGTCCTTCAACAACATGTTTTTCAAGCGCTTTATAATGCTCCTCAGCCTGATCCATACACTTTTATTGTTCAATGCCTTTATATTTTGCCTCAGTTGGGCCTCCAGTATGCTGAAGGATTCAGTCACTTGCTTATGTGCTCTCTTAAACGTCTGAAAAATCGAAAGCCTTTACTTGGAGTTTTATCAGAAGCCAAACTTCTTGCTGCTCAGCTATTTGTTGACATCCTTGCTTGTTCTGTCAGTCATGAAGAACGAATTCTCATAAAAATATTGGAGCTTTTTGAAATTGAGCTGAAAGATATTGGGGAGGCCAAATTTGGTTCTGTGAGAAAAAAAGATGATATGGAGAAAGCAAGGGCTTTTATTGAAAGTCATATATTTGACTTCATCGAGTCCCAGTCATATATGACTGCCACGGTACTGGTGGAACACTTCTCTGTCCACCTAGGTCAATCTTTTCTGCTGAAAATGATGGATAATAATCATTTTAAAGCTGCAGAAAAGTGGGCTGTGTTCATGGGGAAGCCAATGATATGTCTTCTAGTTCAGAAGTATGTTGAAATGAAAATGCTTAAGAATGCTTATGATGTAATACAAAGGAACAATCTCAAGGAGGAATTTCCAGATGTGCAACGGCTATACAAGGAAAGGTCTGAATTTAATTTTTTAGTAAAGTTAATTTGGGTTTTAAATTCATTGATTTCATAAGATAGATATTTTGCCAAACTGCAGCTCACTCAAAAAGCTGGCTGAAAAAGGGTTGTGGGATATTGCGGAGCTTAGGGCAATGAAAGATCGGCAACTCTTGGAATTTGTGGTAAGAGCGGCAAAATTACCTGAAAGGTTGCAGCATTTAAGTGTAGTTGCATTTGATTGCATTTCTATGATTCATTTATTCAAGTTCTTTTTCATCTCTAGAATGAATGCATTTTGAAAACATAAAACAAATTAAGTCATAATCGATTGAAGAGTCTTGAATACATTGTTGCAAGAGATTTGATGACCAAGCTAATGAAGATTCCTCTGCTTTTCTCCTTCACAATTTCTTAAATACTCTCCAATGAGCAGCACGATCCAATTCTTGGAATAATTGTTCTAGACATATTTTAGTCAGCCAGAATCATTTGAAGTGAAGTTTGGTTGCTTGGTGACTTTCCCTAGCGTTGTTGGCTGTCAGGCCCAACCAAATTTGTAAGGGAAGGGTTGTGCTGCTACTGTCTTATAATAGCCGGGGATAGAGGAGGAAGAAAGGTTCTGTTTTTCATGTTTCCAACTAAGTCTTATTTATGATAAAAAAAAAAGGAATTCAAAATCTCGACTATTTGTTAAAATTGAAGAGAGAAATCTGCTTAAAAATTCAAAACCAATTTTCATAGATTCAGATAACTAACCCTTAAATACATTGATATCATTCTAGGGCTCCGAGAAGATGCTTGGGATGCGGATTTAGAGTATAGGTGGTTGTGGAATGACAAGAGAAAGATAAAACAGCCTCGACGACATTTGGAGGGGAATAAGTTATGAAATCTAGTGCTAGAAAGCAGGTTTGAGCTGTTCGGCGGCTGCCACTGCTGAAAACAGCGAGACAGGCGATGAAATGGCGCGGTATGTGCAGTGAGGAGGTTCACCACCTGTTATTGAGTAAGCTACAGACACACCAATTGTAAAAAGAAAATGATATAACACTACTTAGGTAAAATTTAGAGATTACGATATACAAAATAGTCAAAATCAAGCAAATGTCTGAAAAATAGAAAATAAAAAGATATAAATAGTTTCCCCTATAGAAAATGACTTAAATAGAAATATGAAAATAATAATGAAGTCAAGAAAAGAAGAAAATCCAAATGATTGAAAGTTTACAACACCTTATTTTGAACCCATGATTGCGGGGTCGTCTGTGATCCTGTTGAACTCACAAATTGCAGATCTTGCAGAAATTGCGCGACATCCCAGGAGTAATGCTCTCACATCATTCTCCCTAGCTAGGAGAGGTTTTTTTTTTCCTCTGGAAAGACTTGAATCCTATTGTTAGTTATTTTTCTCACAAAACGCCCAAAGAGATTTCCAAAATTACAGTTTGCCACTCATGTCTTATCATTTATTTGTGGACGTGCTGTTAAACTGATCAAAACTTAGTATTTAGTTTGTTCTATATAGTCTTCCAAAAATAGTTCAAAATTTTTATCTCTATCTGAAGTAATGACATGTTGGACCACCCATAGTGGTGTCAATCTCTTAGGAGTTAAACTGTCTGTCATTGCATCCAACAACTCTTTCAACATGGGCTGCCACTTTTCTGTTATCAACTCCTCAGACTCACAACCTTCTAGAACTATCAATGTTAGTTCTGCTGGGTCTTTATCATGGGTTTAGCTTGAATCAATAGCTTAGCTTGAATCAATAGCATCTGAATCAATAGCATCTCTCTCTCTCTCTCTCGTTGGCTGCATGCTGATACTCCACTTTGACATCTCCATTCTTTCATGTGTCACTGTCAATTGCTTCAACCGCTCTGAAAGATTTCTGACACGGGAGCGCACTGCTCTGGACTCTCACAATCACTGGAGAATTGCCGCACATTTCCCGCTGTCAGTTATTTTTCTCACAAAATACCTAAAAAGATTTTCCTTTTTATGCTTTCTTTCTATTATCCTTTATTCTTTTTTATTCCTTTCCTATACATGTGTTATATTAGGGTTGGACGTCAGCTTTTCATGTGTTTTGTATCAGAATCTCTGCCGACATCTCTTCTTCAATTTGAGAGCTGTATTCTAGGGTTCCAGGTGGTGCTTCGGCTATATCTTGGTCTCTAGCTGGTGTTTATCCTTCCCCAACTCCTCCGCATCCCTCCCGCTTCATTGCTACACATTCCTCCTCGCTGCAGGCCACTCGGACAACAACCCTTTTTCTGTTTTCCTGCAGTTTCATCATTCTCCAGCCCTTTTCCTTGTCGACCCTGCCAAGGACAGCTTTCATTTGGCTGTTCGGCTGTCCATCACATCCCCATCTCTATTCCAGCCCTCTATCTTCGCTGTCACTGTTGTTCCAACTCTGCCCCCTCCTCTTTGCTGCCATTATTCCGGACAACCTTGCCACATTGATATCTTTCACTTAGTTGCTGTCCGGAACCTGGGAAGACATTGCCTTCTTGTTTTTCAGCTTGCTAACCACCTCGTCCAGCATCCCAATGCCTTCCAAACCCTCGCCAATCACCGCCATCATCCCGAGATCTACCTTTAGTTTGAGTTTTTATGTTATGTCTGTTGCTTTTTTAGATTTTTGGGTGTCATGTTGTATTTTTCCTTTCTAGTTTATTGTTTGTAACCGCTTATTTGCTTTTAATAATAATATTTGTTTTTAGTATTGTGGTTTGGTATTAGAGCTAGTTTAACTATGGTCCCATCCTAGGGTTTCTAACATCCATCCATACCTAATCCTGCCTCCACCCGAAATTTTTATTTCCCACCCACACTAACTATACACATCCTCTTTCACCTACCTAAACCCAAATCTTAGCCACACGGCCGAAAAGACAATTGTTGGAGACCTGTTCGGGAGGAAATAACATAATGCCGTTTATGATAAATTCGTTAAGAGATGTCTGAGAACCTTCTATGGAGGAAATCCTCCAAGTGTAACAGAGTTTTACCATCTTCGAGAGGAGACAATCTAGACGGGTCACTCGTAGCTACAACAACGACTTGTTAGATCGAAAGAGTGGACTGAATCTCTTCCACCATACAGATTCCAGGATCGAAGGATCTCTATTCCGAAGATTTGATTTGAAATACTTGAGAAGCTAGGATTTTAAAGTGATTGTGAATTTGCCACATTTTGACATTCACTTGGTCTTTGAGAGGCTTTAAATCATGAAATTTTTTTTTTAGTACTAGGAAGCCCCACCGAATATTATAGCGAAACTACCTGCCAACAAATTAAATAAAAGTACATTATTTTGGTGAAGAAAATTTAAGCTCCTACGCTAATGTGAGGGAAAAGACAATGAAACGGAAGATGCAACGCCAATAATTACCAACTCATTACAGACCAGATCTTCGAAGCCCTCCTTCAAAATAAAGAGATCACATCACCGGACGACCACCACGTCTTACAAGCAAGGTTCAACCCCAGACTCTTATTGTAGGAGTACACTCAAGAGAATATCTAAGCCAAACCCACGTAAGGAACAAAATTAATTTAGAGTATAGAATTGGTGGAGCGAACCAATATTTCTAAATCAACCACTACCAGAAAGTGTTTTAAGTGCTACAAATTTGGGCATATTGAATTGGATTGCACAATTAGTGGAATGATCTGTTTCACCGAACTAAGTGTTGTTGATAAAATGGGCATCGACACAGTAGACTCTGAATAAGATGAGAACACAAAGGAGTACCGATTATTTTACTGATGAGAGAATGACACGTAGTTCCGTCCGAGCTCATGAGTAGGGGTGTAAACGAGTCGAACACGAGCGAGCTTAGGCTAAGCTCTTGTTTGGTTCGTTAAAAAATACCAATTTTCTTGTTCGACTCGTTTATATTTCGAACACAAAAAATGTGTTTGTGTTCAGTTCGTTAGCTTAGCGAGCCGAACTAGAGCCGTTCGCAAACATAGTTATTTTGACAACCCTAATCACACAACCATAGAATGTTAAGAGCCGAGGCAAGATTTAAATTTTCTTATTTATATTGAAACATCATTTAAATATAATTTAATATATTTTTGTTTTATTTTTTTAATTAATAATTTTAATTAATTATAAATATTTGTAGCTTTATAGCCAATTAAATTTTTTAAAAATAATATATATATATAATTTAATTATTTCGAGCCAAAATGAATCGAACACAATCGAACAAATCTTTGTTCGTGTTTGACTCGTTTATATATCGATCACAAAACAATTATTTGTGTTTGACTTGTTAACTTAGTGAACGAAATTTACACAAGCTTCTTAATGAGTCGAACAAAAATTGTTCGTGAACAACGAGCTGTTTTGACAGCCCAACCTGTGAGGAGACTCCAATCGAATTATTAGTGATTGTCCAAGACTGTCTTGAGTTCGATGAACTAACACCATAGGCATGACAACTCTAAGGGTCTGTTGATAAGCAGCTTATCCAGATAAGCTACTGAGCAGTAGCTGATCCAGATAAATTGATTGACTGTTTGGTTTGTGCTGTTGGAAAACAACTGTTTTGCAAATTTTTCTGGATAAATGATTATTTCGCCTCTGTGCAGTAATGCTGTTTACAATAGAACTGTTATAAAAATATATTTGATACTTGAGAAGCTAAAAACCACTTCAGAACAATACAAAAAATTAGATACACACTTCACTTAACAGTGAGTATCAAGATTGCTAAAAAAGAAAAATATGTTAAAATTACAATTAAAAATATGATAATCTTAATTTTAAAGTACAAATGATGTTTGTCACGAGCTATGTCGTTCTCTAGAGATAACATTCAACCCCGATCATTGATAGTGGAATCCGCCAAACTGTCTGCCTAGCAGAAGTCACTTTTTCGTAATCCTCTGTAGGCACATGTAAAACTGTCTCCCGTATCTAGGTGCCCGACGTGATTTCAGTAGGGATGTCTATAGTCTGTTGTGACAAAGCACTCCTCGGGAGGTCTTTGAAATCCTAGAGCTCATATTCCTTAAATGATTCAAAAGTCAATCCATTATTCATAACACAAACATAAATTGACAAAGACACTAATCAATTACAGTTTTGTGCGGGAGCAAGGACTCATAGAACTAAGTACACCAACCCCACTAAACCTGTCACAACAAAATACCATCAGA